CAGGGGGGGGGGGGGGGCACAAGATCAGGAAAATCAACGAATCGACACCGGATGTGTATTAACTTGACACGTTCTGATAGGGGGCCTCCTGGGGCCTCCTGGGAGCCTCCTGGGAATCTCATGCGGACCCCTGGGGCCTGTCCTGGGCGTCCTGCGGCCTCCTGAAGCTCTCTGGGGCCTCCTGGAGCTCCCAGGATTCCAGGGAGGATATGTAACATGTGGTCTTCTGGCCCCCAACTGGATCACCTCTTGCGCAGCATCTGAGAGCTCAGAGTTGCGAGAATGTCTTGTGCGAAACGGGCCGGACCACCTTGCGCACGGCATCTCAGAGCTCAGAGTTGCGAGGATGTCTCAGGCGAGATGGGCCGGACCACCTCGCGCAGGGCATTTCGGACCCGAGAGTTGCGAGGATGTCTCAGGCGAAACGGGCTGGACCACCTCGCGCGCGGCATCTCGGACCCCAGAGTTGCGACGATGTCTCGGGCGAAACGTGCTGCGAGGAAGTCTCAGGCGAAACGGGCTGGACCACCTCGCGCAGGGGGGCTCCTGGGGCCTCCTGGGAGCCTCCCGGGAATCTCCTGCGGACCCCTGGGGCCTGTCCTGGGCGTCCTGCGGCCTCCTGGAGCTCTCTGGGGCCTCCTGGGGCGCCCAGGGTCCCAGGGGGGATATGTAACATGTGGTCTTCTGGGCCCCCAGGCTGGACCACCTCTTGCGCGGCATCTCAGAGCTCAGAGTTGCGAGAATGTCTTGTGCGAAACGGGCTGGACCACCTTGCGCACGGCATCTCAGAGCTCAGAGTTGCGAGGATGTCTCAGGCGAGACGGGCCGGACCACCTCGCGCAGGGCATCTCAGAGTTCAGAAGTTCGAGGATGTCTCAGGCGGGCTCCCAGGGTCCCAGGGGGGATATGTAGCATGTGGTTTTCTGGGCCTTGCGCGGCATCTGGGAGCTCAGAGTTGCGAGAATGTCTTGTGCGAAACAGGCCGGACCACCTTGCGCACGGCATCTCAAAGCTCGGAGTTGCGAGGATGTCTCAGGCGAGACGGGCCGGACCACCTCGCGCAGGGCATCTCAAAGCTCAGAAGTTCGAGGATCTCTCAGGCGAAACGGGCCGGACCACCTCTCGCGCGGCATCTCCGAGGTCAGAGTTTCGAGGATGTCTCAGGCGAAACGGGCCAGACCACATCGCGCAAGGCATCTCAGAGCTCAGAGTTTCGAGGATGTCTCAGGCGAAGCGGCCCGGACCACCTCTCGCACGGCACCTCGGGGCTCAGAGTTTCGAGGATGTCCCAAGCGAAACGGCCCGGACCACCTCTCGCGCGGCGTCCCGGAGTGCAACTTTTCGAGGATGTCTCAGGCGAAACGGCCAATCCCGGCCAACTCAGAAACGAGAGTTGTGAGGATGTCTCAAGCGAAACGGCCCAGACCATCAATTTTTGTGAGGATGTCTCTGCTCCGACTTCCCTCGGCCAGAGTTAGCTTCTATCACAACAGCACCCCGTTCAGCAAGCTGTTTGGGGAAATACTCGAAAAATAGTCCCCAGACTATTTTTGGACTATCTTTGGACTATCTTTGAGGTACTTTTCATTTTTCGTCGAAGGTCCCCCCTGTAGGGGGACAGGCCCGACTTCACCCCACGTGGCCCCCCCCCCCGCTCTGCGCCGCCCCCGAGGCTGGCTTCCCCGGGAGCCGCTCGGCGCCCACGCGGCGAAGGAAGAGCCCGGCGGCGGGGCGGCACCGGCTGCCACGCAGCAGCTCTCGTGCCCCCCCCCCCTTCCCAATCTCCACCTGATGCGCAGGGACCGACCGTCCCGGCATTCCTGCGGTCCTACCACGACATGTTCTCAGAACCCAGACATGTTCTAAGAACAGAAACAACGTTCTTAGAACATTGACCCGATGTGTTAAGCCAAGACGGTCTCCGCCAGAAATGTTCCAAGAAGATTTCGCGGGAACCACAAAAAGGTTCTTAGAACATTGTTTGGTAGGGCTGTAGGCGAGCCAGGACGCCTCGCCACTGCTGCCTGAAGACCTTGCGCGTCGGTCGGAGGCAGTGGGCAGAGACCCGAAGCAGGAAGGCGCGGAAAGCAGACTGGGTTCCCGCCCGCCCCCCCTGGGGCGAGAGAAGAGGGGAGGCGCCTCAAGGAGACGCCTCCTCCTCCTCCTCCTCCTCCTCCTCCTCCGCCTCCTCCGCCTCCTCCACCTCCTCCTCCTCCTCCTCCTCCTCCTCCTCCTCCTCCTCCTCCTCCTTCTCCTCGAGGCGCCTCAAGGAGACGGGGCCTTGGGCATCTGGACGTGTGCCTGCTTCCAGCGACCGACGGGTACAGTCGGACTTCGTTGGACAGGACACGCGAGAAGACACAAGACCCTTCCGAGGGTCACATCGCCGTAGGAATGCAGGAGGCACGGGTCGCGAGACACAGGACACACAGGCACCCTTGATTTGGCAGGGTCGACCTACTAATCCGGGCCGACTGTACGAATGCTGGCAAAAGTGTCCCTGGCACAAGGTGGCCTGGCTTGCTTGCTTTCAGCGACCTGCGGGTACGAGTGCTGCCAAAGGTCGTGCCTGCGCATCCATAGGTCCTCCTTTCACTCACAAGTGTTTCACATGTTTTCTTTTTGGCACCAGCTGCCCGCAATGCTTTTTTGCCTGAATTGCTCGTGGCCCGCGTCCGCCAAGGACGGGCCGCCCAACCAACTCGACCACTGCAGATTCATGTCGGGAGCGCTGGTTGTCGGCAGGATGCCCTACTCCTGCCCGTCAGTGGTGAGATGCGGCGCTGCTGCTGGCTTGGAGGAACGGCCTGGTCATGCACGTTTCTCTGCAATGCGTCGGTGTGCGTGGGCAATTGTTGACATGCGTCAGTGTTGCCCGATGCCGATGCGACGTGCCATTGGCGTCGGTGGTCCATGAGGAGCGTTAGCGGCGTCGGTCGCTCGTGGACTGCGTCGAAGGCGCGCGCGCACTGATATCTGATATCTTCAAAGGAATAATCCCAATGATTCTGGATATCTTAGAATGATAGGCTGAGTTCCCCGCGCATGGGCGAATGTACCGTTGCTCTCTGCGGTCGCATATCAGCTGAATTTCCAGTTCCTTCATATTTGCCCCCTCCTTCCCCGCCCTGCACTCGGATTGACCACGCCCGGATGCATTGTTGTTTCTGCGCGCAGTGCCCGGCCCCCAAGTTGCAACCGTTCCGTGGTCGCGTAAAGTGGACCCAAGGCGGGTTGACCTAGGCCCCCAACTCGTGTAAGAGGCCCTGGCTTGATGCACCGCTGGATCTCATGATTATTCCGCTGGCCCGTGGGGAATGCTTTGGGCCTCTGAAGCCCGAAGACGGTGGAAGCTCGCGCCGCCAAGACCAAGATTTTGACCATTTGAAATCTCCTGCCGCCAGGAACCCCAAGAGGGCCTCAAGGCGCAAAAAGCGCCCGCCCTATTGGAGGCCCCATTGAACCCCTCTCGGGGCCGAAGAAGAAGGGCACCTCAAAAGCCTTCCTGGGATGCCAAAAGCGCTCAAAGCGGGGCCCGAGAAGAACCATAACGAAATCACGCGAGAATGGATTCGCGTGGCTTCGTTCTGTCACTCCCTAGCCTCCTCTTGGAGCCCTCCCAAGGCTTTCCAGGACAACATTGGGATGGCCCTAGAGGGCCCCGATGCGCCCCAGGAGGGCTTTGTGAGAGCTCCCAACAAGGCCGGAGAAGAGTTAAAGCAAAGTCACGCGAGAGGGAGAAAGCCCTCGCGAGACTTCCCTCTGACTCCTCCTAAGCCATTCGAAAAGCCGTCTCGGGGCCCTCCCAGGCAGCTTCTCATGCCCAGGGAGCCCCGCGGAAGCCCCAAGAAAGCCCAGATAACGCCCCGAGAGGGGCCCCAAAGGAATCAATACGAAGTCTCGCGAGTGCCCTCTCGCGTGACTTCGCATTGAATCCTTGGAGGTTCCCCTCGGAACTGTCGTCGGGCACTCCAAAACTTCAGCATAGGGCCCAGGCGTGCCTCTGGGGAGCCCCAGCGGGTTCCCAGAGGGCCCCAGGAGGAGTCACAGCGAAGTCACGCGATATGGTTATTTGGCAATTTACGTCTTACTCCCCGTGGGCCCCATCTTGGAGCCTTCGTGGGGCCCGCTGGAATTGCATCGGAGGGCTCTGGCAGGCGCCGTCTGGGTCCCAATAGGGGCTCATGAGGACTCCCAGAGAGGCCCTGGAGGAGTCAGAATGATGTCACACGCGAACCCTCGCGCGTGATTTTGCAATGGCTCCGCTCGGCCCCCTGTGGGAACCTATGATGGCTCTCGGGTCCTTCTTGGAACTATTGTTGCCTTTGCTCCGATGCATCGTCCTCCTCCACTTGTTTCTCATCCCTGCTCCTCCTCGCTGCGCGTTTTGTCGTCAACCTTATGTTTCTCCCTTCCTCCTCTTCCATCCTTAGGCCTCCGCTGGCAAATTCACTGGCGTGCTCTCCTGACGCGCCCCAGACATAGGGGGGGGGGGGGGGGAAACGGTGCCCGTAGGAACTAGACTCGTCAGAGATTCTTTACGCCTGCGGCCAAAATAAGGAAGGTGCGCCTGGCGAACATGCGCGGCACAACCGCCGCGTTGATCTACGCCAGCCCAGACGCTCACTCCAATGATGTGTTTTCCGCCAATGCTTAAGGAAACGACATGCAGGGCAGACGGGGGGGGCCAATCCTGGCCCCCTCGGCCCCGCAGCAAATGTTCAAAAAGGAACCAGCTGCCCAGAATCTCGCCGCAAGCTCACCATATCAGCATGGCCGCGGAGTGGGGGCGACCTGTGATTATTTTCTGCGGGGGCCATCACTCAGAAAGGCAGCCGCCCTCGGAACGCCCTCGCGCCCCAACCTAATCATCCCGATCGACAGTGGCAAAAAACATGCAACAACATATGTACCGCCCGCCTCCTCGCAGTCACGCGCGGCGTCCGCGCAAAGGCCCCCCGCCTCACGAGTCGTCGCCAGCCAGCCCGAACGAGGGGGACTTAGATGTAAGAGCTGGCCAAATAAGTGCTCATCGGAGGAGAGCTTTGTGCGAGCTGTGTGGGCTCGAGCTCGCGCGCACTCTGGGCCCCCTTGATACATCTTTCTTGCGCCTCTGGGCCCTTCGGTGGATTCCAAGACGGCCCCGACGCGACTCCAAAACGGCACAACATCGTTCCCTCACGTTCTACTGGCGGATCGTAACGGCCTCTTGAACTTCTAAGACAGCTTTGAGTTCTTGGAAGGGCGCCCTGACGGCCCCAAGGTGGTTTCTACATCAACAGAAAGGCGTGCATCTGGCATCCAAGAGTGCCCCAAGACGGCTCCCAGATGGCCCAGTCTCGCCATGCGTCATGGCCAGACGCGTCATCGCAACTCCGGTCCTTTTAGGGGTCGGCGGAATGGCGACGGCCTCTAAGGCAAACTATACCAATCCCTGCAACGTCGCATTCGAAGGCAAAGGACACGCCCTGCCCGAGAGATACTGGCGCATCCGCCGGCGGGGGCCCTCTCGCAACACCGCCCGCCCCCTCCTTGCCTGACCCCCCCGCGGCTCGCAGAGCCCCGCTGAACGCCGACCGAGGAGAACGCGAGGATGGGCTGGCATCCTCGAAAAGCGCCTCGAGGACCATAGGCATTCATGCTCCGACTCTCGCCTGGCGGAGAATGGAACTTCTGAGCGCGCAGGCGGTTAGCCACGCGACAGCTCGGCATCCGCTGCAGCCCAGCCCCGAAACCCTGGAGATCGGGGGCGGGAGGGGGGGGAGCCAAGAGAGGAACTCGGGGGGGGGAGGCGGGGGGGGGGAGGCGAGGGAGGCAGGCCACTGGAAGGTCAATGACGACAGAAAAGACACCAAGAGGGGCGATTTGCCGCTGATTCAGTGACGCACCTCCGTGGCGCACCGACTGTGTGAGGCACCGACTCTGCGGCGCTCAGACTCCATGACGGACCGAGCCCATGATAAATTAACGTGGGCTTGGGGATAGAACTTGTCTGAGCGCCTGTTCTGGGACGGACCAGTTCCGCGACAACCCTGCCCGTGGCTCGCAGCGCCGCCCGATGCCGTCCCAAGATCACCCCTCCACGGAGTGAGTAATTCGCGCCGGATGCCAGAGCGCTCAAGCAGCGCATCCCTGGAAAGCCCCCTCGAGGCGCGGCCGACGCATTATCCACCTCCAATCCGAAAGAAAAAACTTGGCTGAGACAGATACGGCGGTGATGATGTTAATGGATTGTGCAGATACATGTTTCCTTTCAGCTCCCATCGGGAAAACTTCGTTCGCCGTCAAACCCGACGGCAGCGCGGCGACTTGAACCCCAGACAGTGCGAACCACAAGGTCTCTGCACTCGACAAGACGACCGACCCCGAATCAAAAGTGCTGCAGAAAAAAGCGCCCCATAATCTCATGACTTCTTGGCCTTCTTCTTGGCTGGCTTGGCGGGCGCAGGCTTCGCAGCGGCCTTCTTCAAGGCCTTCGCCGCCTTCGCAGAAGTATGCGCTGCCACCATGTGTTCCACCGCCGCGCCAGCTTTCTTCTCGCCCTGGCTCGCGGCCGCGGCGCCCTTAGTCACAAGCTCGTAAGCCTTCCGAGAAATCACGTCGAGCTCCTGGGCCTTCTCCGAGCTCAGCAGCCACCGGTAAACCTGGCATGCAGTCACAGGGCCGAGGTCCTTCAAGGTCTTCTCGTCCACTGCCTTCTTGGCCTCGTTGATGCGAAGCGTGAGCGCCTCCATGCCGTAGACCTGGGTCTCCGTAGCGACGCCATCGACCTCTTCTGACTTCTTGGCAGCGCAGAAGTTAGCCACGCGCTGGCCCGCCTGCCCCATCGGGGTGTTTGCCGGGAACTCCGCAGCGCAGGGGCCCTCGCCGCGCTCCATCTTCGCGATCATGGCGACCAGGCTGTTGACGACGCCCTGCGACGTGGGGCTCGCGAACTGCCAGGCCCTCGTCCCAGTCAGAGCCCGCAGCTTCAGCAGACAGTCCCCGAACTTCAGCACCTTCGTGCCGTCGGGAAGCTCGTCGATGGCCTGCGTCACGAGGAAGGCGCCGCCCTCCGTGCCAGCCAATTTCCTCATGTAGGCCACCTCGAGATCGAACGTCTCGTCGGTGTTCTCCCAGAGCCCCCTCTTAGACTCCATGAAGTCCGGGACGTCGCCAGGCTCATTGAAGACCGCTGTTTTCGACACCCTGTACATCTCCTTCCGCGCGTCTCTGAACGGCTTCAGAACGGATTCGGCGAACTCCCGCGTGGTCTGGACGATGGCCTGCTGACCGCGGATCTCCTGCTCAATGGACATCAAATCCAACTTGCCGTGCTTGACTGCCAGCGTCTTCACCATGGCCTGGACGTGGCGGTGAGCGAGGTCAACGCTGGTGTCGCACTTCAACGTGGCAACCGAATCCATGAACGGGATCTCGTAGTCCTTCCCCACGGTGACCATCTTGTCTATCTTGAGCCGGCTTGCCTCCGCCAGCATGCCATCCGAGAGCTCCCCCAGCGCATCGGGGTTCACCGGCTTGTCCGAGGCGGCAAAGACGGCGGCCTGGTCCTTCATGTAGCCGCATGCGTGCGCCGCCACGACCTCGGGGCAGAAGTCGAGGAACAACTCGGCGCCGAGCTTGGACCCAGTCGAAAGGGCGCTGAGTTGGGAGGTCACGTTCTCCCAGCTATCCTCCTCCGACAAAACCGAATCCACCATGGCTGGATCCAGGAACGTGCCCGCCGTCGTCCTGTACTTATTCCAGAAGATGGAGACGTCGTACTCCGTGTCCTTTCTCGACTCCTCGGCGAAGAGCGATTTCAAGCCCTCCTCCAACCCTGGCATGGCGACGCCGAGCTCCTTCTTGTAGTCCTCCAACATCTTCAAACGTTCGAACGCGGAGAAGACCTGCACCACGAGGCCCCCGAACTTGGGGCAGCCAGCGACCTGCAGCTCCACGAGAAGGTCCACGATCTTCACCACGGACTTCTGGTTCAGCTTCGTGCGCCGCTGGCGCAACCAATGGATGAGGGGCTCCTTCTTGCGATCCCGACGCTGCCGCGCTCGCGCAACAGCGATGGCCTCCGCCAGGCCGTCGTGGAGCTCCCGGCTAGGGTTCGCGGGCACCGCGAGCGTCTGGCCTGACAGCGCAGCCATGTACATCCGCTTGATGTCACCGAAATACTCTGGATCCGCCCGGACCTTGCCCGCAGCAAGCAGCGCAGTCCTGTCTTGGATCATCTTCCGGCACATGGTCACCCCATTGACCTGCACGACGCCCACTGCGGCGGGCGGTATCGCGTTGCCGAACATGCGCAGGATGTTGCGGTTCACAACGCGCGCGATGTCCTCTGGCCTCTTTGAGGCCTCCTCCTGCGCCAAAGTCATCTTCCTGCGACCGCCCGCTGGCGCCTTCCTCTTGGACGCGGCCATGGCCTGGGCGGAGGCGACAAGCAAAGATTTGGGGGGCATAGCGGCGTGGGGCCAGGTTGGTCGCCGCTGGGAGATCCGGGAGTTTTGAGCCAAAACGGCTGCGGGACGTGATGCAAACTATGCGGCCCATCGTACCAATGGCGGCGGCGACGACGACGGCGGCGACAGCTGCGGCGGCGGCGGCGCGGGCAGGCGACGGGGCTGGGCAGCGAGGACGGCGACGACGACGACGGCGGCGGCGGCGGCGGCGACGACTGCGACGACGACGACGGCGGCGGCGACGGCGGCGGCGGCGGCGACGACGGCGGCGTCGGCAGCGGCGACGACTGCGACGACGAGGATGGACGCCGACGAGGAGGCCGACGAGGATGCCACCCCGGCGTCGGAGGCCGACGAGGATGGAGGCCCCTCTTCACAGCCAGCCGGACCCGCTCGCACCGCCCAACCCCACGCGGGCAGGCAAGCCAGATCGCACCCCCTGCGCGCACTCACGGCGCTCCCGAACATTATGAACCACAACAAACCAAAACAAAAACAAAGTCATAATGTTGGTCATAATGTATGTCATAATGTTGATCCTAATGTTTGGTCATAATGTTGGGCCATAATGTTTTGTCATAATGTAAGGTCAGAATGCTGGGTCATAAGATTTGGTCATAATGTTGGGTCATAATGTTGGGCCATAATGTTTGCCCAGGGCGCCCCGACTCTCCGCTTCGGGAGGCGCGCGCCTGAGCGCCCCGATCAAGGCTGCCTGCGCGGCAGCAGCAACTGGGATGAGTCATACCGCAACCTCGCGGAGTGGTCCGCTGGCAGGGCAAGGATGTCGGCGCGCACTTTCGGGGGAGCGCAGCTGTCGACATCGGGCGGCCCGAAGTCGACGTCGTCCGACCTGCCCGCCGCCGCCCACCTGTCGTACCAGTCCTGCATGAGCTGCGCCCAAGTCCGGGCCAGACCTACAGCAAGCGCGGCGCCGCACGTTGAGGCGGCGAAGGTGCTGGACCGTGAACCAGCGGGGAAAAACTTGCACATCCACTCCTGTGGGACACCTGCAGCAGGGCGACCTCGGTACGAATCGACCGCCTTGCCCTTGTGCTTCTTGGCCCAGTTGCCACCCCGGGGCTCCGCCACGGAAGATGGCTCGTCGTCGGGGTCGGCTCCAGCAGCTGCAACCTCGAGCTTCGCCTCGGCAACGGCCGCGTACACCGCCTTGAGCTCCTCCTCGTCCAGGTCAACGTCCACCGCGTGGGGTTCCTTCTTCGAACCTCCTGTCTTTGCTCCGTCTGGCTTGCCTGCGAATCGACGGACCCACGGGTGCTTGCTGGCCAGCGCGAGGTCCTCCTTCTCTCGCTTAGACCTCTTCTTGCCCTTCTCCTTCCTGGGCTCCGGGAGCTGCTCGCAGAAGGCGCCGTGCTCCACCAGGTCGACGTCGGCCCAGGCGAAGCCCTTGCCCTCGAAGCGCACGAATGGAATGACAAATGCCGGCGGCTCGGCAAAGGCGGCGGAGTCCTCGAAGAGATACTCCTTGAAATGCACTCGCCAGTTGTGGCGATGCTGCTGCCGAGGCGTCTCGGGCATGGCGTCGGCGGAGCCCGCGGCCGCGCCCGCCGCCGCGGCCCGCTGCAACCGGTAGAAAGCAGCCCACATCGGCTTCTGGGAGGCGTGCCCAAGCACAAAGGTCGGCGAGTCGATGGAGTCGCCGAAGACGAAAGCAACCGTGCTGAAAACCTCCCGATTCCGGCATGCATCTGCGACCCAAGCAAGGCAATCCGGAGGGAGCTCTTCCCGGGAACCGTCGTCGCAGTCGGCCATCGCCTGCCGCGTTGGCTCCGAAGGAGGGCACGGGCACTTCAGGTCCCTGGCGATCTCCCGCTGAACGATGCTCTTGGGGAAGTCGCTGCCCTGGCACATCGCGTCGAGGGCTCGCACGTCGTCGCTACTCCAGCCCGTGCAAGCTACTCGTAGCGGGGGCGCCTCCGCAGCCTCCTGCTGCTGCTTCAGCTTCGCCTCGTTTATCTTGTTCTCCATGGCTACGATGGCCACTCGATTCTCTGCGACCTTGCGCCGCTTATCAGCCGTTGCTTTCACGTGGTACCTGTCGCGGATGTCAAGCGGGGCATTCCGGAACTCGACGCGCTGGGTCTTCACTGCGCTCTTTGCTGCCCCTCGCCGAGTCGCCGGCGTGGGCTCCGCCAGCCGATCGAGCGCCATGGCGGCGGCGTGCTGGAGAAAAGCGCCAACTCCGCCAGCGTTCTGCGGCTGCTTCCGCTTCAACGACTCCAGCCGTACATCGTCCATGCTGCGACGGGGAGCGGGCGTGGCCGCGCGGACTATGGGCAGCATCAGATTGACGGCTGTCTTGGCCGAGTGCGTGGACGCCGTGAACCCTTTATGGACATGGTGCTATTATGCTCCAGCGCCGTGCATCTGCTCCCACCGCAAAATGCTCCACGGGGCCTCCCGCATCAGGTCGAAGGCCTGCTCGACGCACGCCATGGGGTAGCCGAGGCGCAGCAAAGCCTGAACCTTCGCGAGGATGGGATCTGGCGGGACGGCAACCTCCGAGGGCTGGAGGGCGGCGCACTTCTCGGCGACGTCGCCGCAGCAGACCTCGAAAATAGGCTTCCGCAGAACGGCAAACACTTTCCTGTCCACGTAGGCTGCGGCATGATAAGAACTTCGGTAGACATCGCTCTCCAAAGCCTCGGCGCCCAAGCCTTCGACGTGCATCGCAAGCCTTTGAAGTACCCATGGATGCAACGCGTGCAAGTACTGGATACCCGAGTGGACAGCGTCGACGAACTTCGCCGGGTTCTTCGCGACGCGGTCGTCCTTCAGCAACAGCGCGTGCATGCGGTCGGTCGCGTGCGACGCGAGGGCCGTCTTGCAGACGAAACGCCGCGCAACAGGGTCCAGCAGGTCATAGCAATGAGAGTACCACTCGCCCGCGCCTGGCTGGGCGCGCGTGAAAGCCATGTGTTGGCCCAGACCGCACATCAAGGCCATGCACAAACCCTTGCACGACCTCCCCAGGCTGAGGAAGCGCGAAGTCGTAAACGTCGTCAAACGGTAAGCTGCCAGCACAAGAGAACCCACGTGGCCCAGCGGGTCCGGCATCTCGCACACTCGGGAATGGCAGCGGAGGGAACCGTTTTCCCAGCGAAGATCGATCTGTGGCCTCGGCAATGTGCGGTTTGGCGCCCATGGCCAACCACAACTCGCGGACGGCGTCCATGTCGTAGGGGCCCGCGGACACCTGAAGGTCCCGCAGCCACTCCGGCAAGGTTTCCATGAGCGTGTCGAGTGTGTCCCTAGCGGACCGGATGGCCTTGAATATGTTATTGTACATCGCGTCCTTGCCGTCGATGCCAAATGAGCAGCTGACACACAGAGCATTCTGCACGTCATGGTCGGCACACGCCGAATCCATTACCCAATCCAGCAACGAGGCTCGATGACGAGCAGCGGGATCGGGAATGCCCGCGAGATCTTGGAGATGCCGCCGCCGCATGCACCTCGAGAGCGAACCCTTCTCACCACGGTCGAATACATACCAGCTCAAGTTCACCCCGTCCGGGTGCCACCAACGCGGCACAGGGCAGAACCGCTCTGCAGCACCGTACAAATACCAAGTCTTCTTACTGGGCATCTCCACCAGGGCCTCGAACATGGTCCTCGCTTGCAAGCGCTGGTGGTCATCCCGGAACACGAAGTATGCGCGGTGCAAGAGCCATTCCACTGGCTTGTTTGTCTCGCAATGTTCTTGCCGTCCACAGACACGCAAGTCCGGAGCTTGTGCAACATAGGCGTAACGTCGCTGCCGTAGATCATCAGAAGAGGCCTGGAACCCGCTGAGCGGCAGAAGCCTTGAGCGTTCTGGCGCATGTAACGGGTGCCGACAACGACAAGCTTTTCAACAACGTCCTTCTCAGAAAAATCTAAGACCACGAAGACGGGGGCATACTTCTCGACCAGGGATGCGAAACCCTCGGCCTCGGCATCGTCTGTCATGGTCACCTGCGGGCCGCCGACACTCGAAAGACTGCGACCCCCTCGCGCCTTCAGGAAAGGCTATAGTTTGAACCCAAACGGCAACGATGCAATGCCACCCCATGCTCGGAAGTTGACGACAGTCTACTACGAGAAGCCTGGATAACGATGCGAACCCGACCTGAAGCTCTCTCAGGGTCCGAATGGAGCCTCTTGGAGTACTTTGGAATCTTGGGTGCCTCTGGCGGGCGCTCCGGGGGCCACTCAAACGTCCTGCGTGCTCGATCGCAAGATAGCCTCCAACACAGCACATGGGAGCCCAAAGGAAGGACCACCACGGGGATAACCTTCGCAGCGCTGTGCATTTCGAGTAGGAGCAGTTATGAGCAACAATATCCCCAATCCTCCCTCTCCTCCATCCTCTCCCCCCCTCGTCCCATACCGTGTTCCAGTAAATCCGAGTAATTTGAAAAACTGCGTTCCGTACGGCCTGGACGGGGGAGGAAGGGGCAGCGAACGGTCATGACGTCCACTATAGCCCAGAACGGCCCGAAGCTGGGTCCAAGTAGTTCAAGATGGCCTCCAAGATGGTGCAATAGTGCTATCCTTCCCGTGTTAATCCAGCCCCTCCCCTTCCTGCAGATAATGCTTTCCTCAGCCGGGGGGGGTCTGAGTTAACTCTACTCCCGCACCCTCCCTCTACCTTCAAGACGCGGATAAACTATTTCTCAAAAGGGGGTGCGGGAGTAATTTACGAATTTACTCCCAGACCCTCCTCTACCGACCCCCTCTCATCCTCAGATGGGGGTGCGGGCGTAACCTTTACTCCCGCATTTAGTCCACGCTCCTTCGACCTAGAACCGTGCATAAAATCCAGGATGCAAGCTTACAGTATTGCTATCCTCATGTTTCCTTGCAGCCCCATCGACCTTTCCTCCACGCACCCCGCCCTCCCATCCCTCGCCCCTGCTGTTCTGCCCTCTTATTTGTCCTGCCCCTCCCCTTGCACCAGCCCCTGCTCCTCTCTCCCTCCTCCTCCACGTCCTCTTCCTCCTCCCCTCCCTACCCACGAGCCGAACAGAAAAATGAGAATGTCAATCTACCCTTTTGGTTTCCCCCATTCCCTCCAATCCGCTTCCACTCCCTCCACGCATCCCTCCCGCCTTTCCTGCTCCCTGTCGCCCCCCCTCTCTTCGACTTCATACCGTTGCTCCCCATTCCTATTCCTTCTCCCCGAGACCACGCGCAAAAGCAAGATGCATGTTTAAACTTGCTTGTCTGCTGCTTAGCGCAAAGGCGCCCAAGCACACTCAGCAACCCAGCGCACCAAGCGCACCAGCAAACAGCCCTAACACCACGCGCAAAGCAAGATGAATGTTTAAACTTGCTTTTCTGCTCGTTAGCACCCATCACACCAGCAAACAGTCAGCGCACTCAGCACACCAGGCGCACTAGCACACCTGGCACGACATGACACCAGGCACGCAAAGCACACCGCGGACACACCAAGCAACACAAACACGCTACAGAGGGGGGAAAAACATGTTTACTTTGAGGAGCGAACAACTATTTCTCCCAAGCTCGCCAGCAAAACGCGCCCCACCAGCACACCAAGAACGCGCCAGCCCTGTGTCAAATCGCATAAATGTGTTCCCGCTTGCGTGCGTGTCCGCGTGCTTGTGTGCCTGGTCGGTTGGCGGTGTGCTAGCGGCGTACTGGCGGCGCGCCACGCGTGCGTCGCGAGCGCGAATACGTTTTCGCAAGCGACGTCCGTGTAAAACCCCGATCCCGCCAAACGGAAAGGATACCCTAAACTCAAAAAGAAAAACTAACATATGCGCGTCAATCTGCTGCCTTCACAAAAAAACACTTTTTCAAACAATTGCGAGCGTTTCCTGCTTCAAAAGCAGCATTCATATACATGAAACATGTGTGAACATTTCATTCTCCCGACTGCCCCTCCCCGTTTTGGAAAAAAGGTGGTTTGAATCCCACCTCCCGGGTCAATCCCCGGGAGGGCCTCTAGGGCAAGGCAGGGTCAGTCCCACTGCCTCAGGGAAACAAAACACCCTTTGACCAAAACCCCCCATCCCCCCCCCGTTGTCCCCAAGCCCCCTCCTCCTCCTTGCCCTCCTTATCATAATCATATTTCCTTCCTCGGCCCTTATGTCTGTCTGGCAGGACCTCCACCTCATGAGGCAACGGTCGTCTTGCCCAAATGTCTCGCGCATGCTCTTAACAGAGGGGAGGTATGGAAGAATGCGGGCAGGAACAAAGACATGGAAAAGGAAGACGGGCGATGAAACCTATGCGTGACGGGACGGGGACACGAGAGGCAGGAGGGGAGGAGGGAGGGGAAGGAGGATTTTCCCACACACGAAACGATTCCTGGATACGTCCCAGACAAATCCCATTCTTGTTTATACATACACATAAATGTATGTATGTGGCTGGGATGTGGGAAAATACTAATAAAGAAAACGCAAGGGGCCGAACCGCTTCCTTGAATCAGGATCGCGCGCTAATTCACGGAGCTAGGCGACGTGGTGGAGGCGCAGTCGCATCTGATTTCCTTGACGCGCGCGTCCTTTGAATCCCCGCGAAAGATCGAACTAAGACTCGGCCGCGGAAGCGGCGCCGCGATTTGGCGTTCACAAACGACGATGGCAAATGCCGTCGCTGATTTACCCCCCAGGGGCAATGCTTCCACAACGACCCCATGCCAATAGTGCAGACTCGCTCGTACCTAGTGAATCCATTTAGTGGGCGCGACGTTTAGTGGTCGTGAGGAGCGGGAATGCAATACGAATTCCGCGCGCGCTGCGCCTCGCAATCTTGTTAAGAATTCTACGACGGTCAAAACTTTAAAAACCTAAAACATAATTTCATAATGTAACCTATGCCCTGGTGGGCACGACAAAGGGGTCCCCGGCACAGGGTGGCCCCGGCCTTTTGCCAGGAGGTCCCGGGTGGACTCCGAGGCCGCCCCCCCTCGCGGGGCCCAGAGGGCCCCCGACGGACTCAGAATGGCGCGAGAAGGCCGGGGGCAAGTGGGCCCGGGTCGCCTCTGCACAAGAAGAAACATTTCATGACCATGCAGGGTTGGCCTGTTTTCCACCACCACCACCATGAGTTGGAGGGGGGGAGGAGGAGGACGAGGATGAGAACGAAGAGGAGGCGGGAGAGGAGGCGGAGGAGGAGGAGGAGGAGGAGGAGGACGAGGAGGAGGAAGAGGAGGCGGACCCCCTCCCCCTCCAACTTCTGGTGGTGGTGGTGGTGGATTCGCGCAGATTTCGAAGGCTCGCGCGGATTTTTTGGATCGGCCCAGGGCGCCCGTCCTGGCGCGCGCCCTCCCCCCGTCCCCCCCCCCCCTGGAGAGGGGCAGCTCTCCCACCCGAGCCGCGACGCGCGACGAGCGACGGTCTTCGTGTCCCTGGGGGTGACCTAGCCCTTCTGTCCGCTCCCTGTGTCAGAGGAAAGAGAACTATGCACATACACCGATTCTGGCCAGGCCCATCCTGAGCCCAGGATCGGTGCATACGCCCTCCTACCTTGGCCAGGAGGGCATATGCACCGATCCTGGGTCAAGGACGGGCCTTGCCAGGATCGGTGCATGTGCATACTTCCCTTTGCCCGATGTGTCGAGGAGGCGGCTCTCGACGACAGCCGTCCAGCCAGCCTGGCCCATCCCTCGAGCTCGGCCCAGCTCGCGCCAAAACAACCCAAAGGTGGCCCGAGGCAGCCCCAATCCAGTGGCACTCGGCACATGCCGCCACCGTGCCTGGGCCGTGCACAGGTGGAGTCCCACAGGCCTCTTGAAGAGGCCGCCTCTGAGCTTGGTTGAACTGGGCTTGCGTCCGCCCGGGCCGCCGTCTGGGAACCTCGGGCCGTCTGGGGGAGCTCTTGGGCCACCGGGGGCGCACTCTCGCGGTCGGGGCGGGCCCAGAGGCCCGGCACGCTTGGCGGCCCCCCGGGAGGTCTGCAGAGGTCCGCGGGGGCCCCCCGAAAACTGTGGGAGCGCCCCCAAAGTTCCCCAAACATCAGGAAACCTTCGAACACTCATTTCTCAGGTCGCTCGCGCTGCATCTCTTTTCTTGCTGGTGGCGCCTGACCTGTCGCAAGACTATCCGCGCCGTCGAGTGGCCGTTCTGGCAACGCCGGCGAAAGTCGAAGTCGTGCGGCAGCGCCACGAAGCGGATAGGAACGTTAGTACCTCCTCCTCCTCCTCCTCCTCCTCCTCTTTTTCCTCCTCCTGCATTTCCTCCTCTTTTTCCAAGACCATCCATCTTCCATGCAAAATATTCTTCTCTGTCGCACAACCATGCGTGTCGAAATGGCGGTCGGGGCGCTTCGCATGCGACTTCATCATCGCCTGCGATCTGGACACCTCGAACTTCCAACAACTGCACGTGTGGGGGGCGGGCCGTTTTCAAAATGGGTATATCGCATTCGCGCCGCGCACACTCGTTTTCTACATCCACGAGCGACAAGACAACAGGCGGAGCTTCACGGATTGAGGGCGGGTCGTTTTCAATCTGTGGCTCTCGTTTTAGCGCCGCGCACACTTGTTGAAAACAATTGCAGCAGCTTCACGGATGGAGGGCGAATCATGTTCAAGAAGTGAATCTCGCCTTAGCGCCGCGCGCATTCGTTTCAAACATGCACGAATTTCGCGGATTGAGATCGGGTCCTTTTCAACATGTGGTTCTTACCGCCGCGCGTAGGAGTCGTGTAAACAGTGGATGAGCTTCACGGATTGAGGGCGAATCGTTTTCAAAATGTGGTTCTCGCTCTCAGCGCCGCGCACATTTGTTTTGAACCTTTGCAAGACTGTCACGGGTTGAGAGCGGCACCAGAAATGGCGTTCTGGAGCGATTCAGGAGTATCAGAGAGCGGGAATTACGTGTATTCGCCGTGTTGAAGTCCCAATAATGGTGTTCAGGTTCGATCCAAGATCGCCAAGATGCAGCAATCAGATTAGCTCGTGGCTGTGGAATCCCTACAAGGTCTTCTGGCACGCTTCGGGATGTTCACACGGTTGCCCCCGCACGGGGCAAGTCTTCAGTGGAAATGACGCCTTATAAGAGCCCATGACAATGGATTTTGGAGGGAGGGTGTGTTTCAACATCGTTGATGGGTCTTGGGTTTACACAGGTCCTCCTCTTCTTCCTCCTCCTCCTACTCCTCCTCCTCCTCCTCCTCCTGCAGCTCCAGCTCATCCTCCGCCTCCTGCAGCTCCAATGTGTCCTTTTCCTCCTCCTCCTCGTTCTCCCAATCCGGTGGCGCCGGAGCAGCCGCCAGCCAAGCGCCTGGCGCGTGCCAAAGGCCAGCATGTCGCCGCCTTTCGTGCAGGTGCGATGGGAACCGACGTCGCCGTCCTCGAAGCGGCCCGCTGCCTCCGGGAACGGGCTGCACCGCGGCATTATGCCGCCGTCTGGGAGCGGTTCGCGAAGCGCGTCGGTGCACAGCGATACCGCGCGAAGCCCTCCCGGGGCGTCACCTGCAGCCATAGGGATGCCACGACGCGCCAGCCCGAAGGAGACGGCCTGCAGACGCGCGGGCCTCGAGCCAGAGCCGGCGGTCAGAACGTCCGCCGCGGCGGTGTGGTTCATGGCGGCCTGCCAGCCTCCGACGAGCGTGATGACGACGCCGCCAGATCGCGGCAGCCAGGCAGGCGCGCGTTGCGCCATCCCCGCCCCCAGACGCAGCAGCAAACTCAGCTGCAGCGGCCATAGAGCGCAGATTGTGGTCACGACTCCGTCGCCAGCCCACCGCAATTCAGTGCCGGGGGGCCAGGCGCTCTTCTGTGGCGTGCCTGCGATCCCCCTCCAAGCGAGGGCCGCTGTCACAAGCTTCGCAGTGCCGCGTCTGAAGCCCTCGGCTACGTCGTCAGGCCGCATCACGTCCGGTCGCTCAGCAAGAACGGTTCATCGCCGCGCCCGTCGTGCAGGTGGAGCCCTTCTGTCGGCTCGAGCAACCGGGTGGCAGCACTGGAAATGAAGGAAACGACCTTGGGCCAATCTGTGCTTAAGAGCGGCGGACCCGGATCACGCAAGCACTTCACGAGACGCGGGTCGTGCAAGAAACTGCTGGCCTGATCCTCCCACGCCACGTTCGGCCCAGTACCATCTGGGTCGGAGTGGCAGGCAATGTGCGTCACTACTACTACTACTACTACTACTACTACTACTACTACTACTACTACTACTACTACTACTACTACTACTACTACTACTACTACTACTACTACTACTACTACTACTACTACTACTACTACTACTACTACTACTACTACTACTACTACTACTACTACTACTACTACTACTACTACTACTACTACTACTACTACTACTACTACTACTACTACTACTACTACTACTACTACTACTACTACTACTACTACTACTACTACTACTACTACTACTACTACTACTACTACTACTACTACTACCACACTACCACTACCACTACCACTACCACTACCATTACCACTACCACTACCACTACCACTACCACTACCACTACCACTACAACTACCACTACCACTACCACTACCACTACCACTACCACTACCACAACCACTACCACTACCACTTACGGACGACGACTCACGACTACTTTGTACACACTACTACCACTACATACCACTACCACTACCACTGACCACTACCACTCACCCTACCACTTACCACTACTACTACTACTCGACTACGACACGACTACGGACATACGACTACGACTACGACTTCGACTACGACTACGACTACGACTACGACTACGAACTACGACGACGACTACGAATACTACTAATACTACTACTTACTACTACTACTACACACTACTACTACTACTGTATACTACTACGACTACTACTACGACGTACTTACTACTACTATACTTACTACTATACTATTGACTTATACTACTCATTCGAATACTTACTACTACTATACTACTACTATACTACTACTACTTTACTACTACTACTACTACGACTACTACGACTACTACGACTACTACGACTACTCTACGA